GGGGGGGGGGGAGCGGGGAAGGGGTGGTGTGTGGGTCTTGCTCCTCAGTGAGGAGGCTTGCAGGCTGGGGGAGGGCAATAGCTCTAGTCCTCTGCTGGGGGCAGGAGATCTGCCCTATTGAGACGTCCTGAGGTGGCCCTGGGGAACAGAATTAAACATTCTACAGCTGACAAAACCGAGGTTTCGCAGGCAGTTGCTGCCCCTGCCAGAGAAGGGAGCTTCAAGTGCCCTTCCCCGGGTGGCATCTGTGCCCCCAGGGCCCTGCCAAGTCATCTTCCCTTCTCCCTCCCCCATCCCGTCTCCAAGGCTGCTTGCTGCCTCTGCAGTCTCTGCTCCTGCTGCCTTGTGTCAAAATGCCGGGCCCATTCTGTTTCTTTCAGCAAGACTTTGGCACCACCCTCCACTGCATGCTGCCCATGCAGTCGCCCCTGTGTGGTGGGCCTTCTGGTTCCAGCAATGCTCAGCTCTCCAGGGTGTGGGCAATGTGCAGAGAGTACTGGTGGGGAAGTCTGGAGGCCTGGGTGTAGCAAGCAGAGCTCTGAGACTGGGCAAGTCACTTCTCTCTGGACCTCAGCTTCCCTTCCTGGGAGTGGGGATAATGAAGCCTGCCCCTCAGGGTTGTTAGGCCCATTAAATAAATTCTAACTTGTATTCACACAGCTATTTTATTTATTATCTATATTTTATAGATGAGGGAACAGGCACAGAGATGTTAAGTCATTTAACCTAGAAGGACAGGGCCAGTAAGCACAGAGCCAAGAGGGCAGTGGGTAGAGGTGAGGCAGAGCATTGAGCATAGTGAGTCCCACCCCCCTCCCCCCAACCCCCCATGTCAAGGGGGACAGGCAAGAGAAACTCAGGCTCTTTGCAGGCACACCAAGTTTTGCAGGGGAGTGGGGGTGGGGAGCCAGAGCAGGAAAGGCTGGGCTGGTGCTTGAATTTTATGTTGAGGGCAATGTAGAGCAGTGAGGGTTTCAGCGCTGGATAATGGGTCTGCTTTGGCTTTTGTACTAGAGGCAGATCTGTCTGGCTGCATGGGGAGAGTGGGTGACGGGCATGGGGCTTGGAAGTGGGAGACCTAGGAGGAGGGCTGGGTCACAGCTAGGGGCTGGGGAGTGGGAAGTGAGGAAGGCTCCAGGGGAAGTTAGGAGGCTGAATTGACAGGACTGGGACGCTTGGAGGGCCAAGAGGGTTTCAGGTTTGGGTCAAGGTGGCTGGAGGGAGGTGCCTATCATATAGGCCCCAAGATTTTTGTTTGTTTGTTTTAAAGGAAAGCAGACCCTGGTTGTTACCCTGCTGAGAACCTTCCCACAATTAATACAGTCCAGACTCCTCCCATGGCCTCCAGCACTCTCTGGAGTCTGGCGCTGCTGCCCTTCAGTTTATCCCTCGCACCACCAAACATGATCTTACCTCTGGGCCTCTGCCAGTCCCTCCACCTGGAATTTCCTTGTCACTACACTTTTTCTCTATTTAGACCTCAGCTAAAATATCCCCATTTTCCCTAACTGAAGCATGCCTCCACAACCCCCAGTCACTCCCCACTGCATCACTGTTTGGTTTTCTTTAAAGGATCTGTTGGTATCTGAAATTACCTTGTTTGCTCACTGTGGATTTCTCCCACTGGAGTGTAAACTCCATGAGGGCAGAGAGCTCATTTGTTCTATTTTCTGATGTATTCCCAGCACACGGAACAGGGCCTGGGACTTGGAGGTGTTTGCAGCAGGCAGTTGGACATAGGAGTCTGGAGCCAGGGAGAGGTTTGGGTGGAGATCTGGGAGATGTCGGCATCTGATGGTGTGGATAATAAGTGTGGAGGAGGAAGAAAGCAGAAGGCTGAAGGTTAAACCTGGTTGGGGGTGGAGGGGGGTGGCCATGTGCATAGGGCAGGTGAAGCAGTGAATCCTGGGAGGGAGGCTGAGAAGGAGCAGAGAGAGGATTGGTGTTGGGTAACCAAGGAGGGGTTCAGAAAGGAGAAAGTAGTAGTCAGTCACCTGTCTAAAGGCCGTGGGTGGGTCAAATGGGATGAGGCGGGAGAAGTGATGTTTGGTTTCACATTCCAGATCTAGTATAGAGGTGAGGGGAAGGAAAGCTATTTCCAGAGAAGAATACAGCAGTGGGAGGAGTCTGGGGTCAGAGAGAGGAAGGTGTTAAACTGGGTGATCATGGTGGAATTGACTGGAATTGGTGGGGGGAAGGGGAGGAGCCTATGAAAGCAGGTGGGTGGGGAAGGTCTGAAGAGGTGGGGTCACGGCCTTGTGCTGGCTGGGGCAGGAGGGACACTCTTCCTGTGAGATTGAACATCCGGGGAGCTGCCCAGTCTCAGGTTGATAGCCTTGACATCCAGGGCTCTTCCCAGTAAGGAACTGAGGCCGGATGGTGGGTTGTGCTTAGAAGGCCCAGGCAGAACTGTGGCCAGAAGTTTTCAAGGGCACAGCCACCAGCCCAGACTAGGGTCCCTCAGCTGGATCCTGCTCACATCGGGATTCCTTGTCATTCAGGGGTCTTTGCTTATGAGCTATGAAAACAGAAAATGGAGTAGGGCAACCATCACAGAGTTGGAGGGCAGTGGAATGGCCAGATTGGGAAGGAGCAGAAAGGAGGGTAGGAGCCCAGAACTCAGACAGGTCTGGTGGGAGGAGAGGCTCAGGACATAGCTGCTGCTGCTGCTGCTGCTGCTTGGCAGGAGTATCCTGGCCATCCTCTGCTCCAGTTCTGAGTTCTGGGAAGGACTAAGGTGGGTTCCATCCTCCAGGCTGTGTTTTGTGGGGGAGAAACACTGGAATGTATTCTTGGAAAGGTAGAAAGGACCCTGGACCCACCCCTCCTCCTCTCTCTCCTACTGGCTTCCTGAAGACCCTGAGTACTAGGGGGGAGGGGGCTCTGTCTGGGTGGGGAAGGATGCTGCTCCAACCCTCAGCTCTTTGATGCTGCTTCTGCAGGTGCTGGGAGCCCTGTTCCTGGCCATTGGCCTCTGGGCCTGGGGTGAGAAGGTAAGGTGGTGCAGTAGGGCGTGGGGCTGCCATGGGTTGAGGTGGTGGGAGGATCGGGCCGACCACTTGCCTTTGCTCCCCTGGCACAGGGCGTTCTCTCTAACATCTCAGCGCTGACAGATCTGGGAGGCCTCGACCCCGTATGGCTGTTTGTAGTGGTTGGAGGTGTCATGTCAGTACTGGGCTTTGCTGGCTGCATCGGGGCCCTCCGGGAGAACACCTTCCTGCTCAAGTTTGTGAGTACACCCTCACCTAGGCCCACTGGGGACCCCAACCTCCTCCCACATCTATGTAGTTAGTACTTAATAATGGGTAGTTTTATTATTACGTTATTATAACAGTAATCGTCAGAATTGTATTATCTATATAGGATTCTTTCTGCTATGACTGAAACCCAGGGGCCTAAGCATGAAAGGGTATTTATGGGCTCACTAGGGAAAGCCCAGGGGTGTGCTGGGTGTCAGCACATTTGGATCTAGGGGCCACCGCAATGTCACTTGGCCTGGTCTCTCTGTTTCTCTTCTCTGTCCCTCTAGTTGGCTCCATTCCCCAAGGGGTGGAAGGATGCCCACGAATGGGTGGGGGCTAGCTTCATACTGCCCCTCTGGGAACCCCTACTAGAGGCTGAACCTCTCTCTTCCTAACCAGTCATCCAGTCTTTTTTTTTTTTTTTTTTTTAAGTTTATTTTGAGAGAGAGAGTGCAGGCATGTGCGAGTGGAGGTGGGGAGGAGTGGGGGGAGGGAGAGAGAGAGAAAGAAAGAGAAAGAAGAAAGAGAGAGAAAGAGGGAGGAAGGGAGAGATGGAAGGAAGGAAAGAATCCTAAGCAGGCTCCTTGCTGTCAGCGCGGAGCCTGAGGAGCCTGAGGAGCCTGAGATGGGTTTCATCTGACTGAGAGCAGGACCTGAGTAGAAATCAAGAATCAGAAGCAGTCACTTCTTTGCATCTCGTTGGTCCAGATTGGCTGTCTTTGGACCAATCCCCGTGGCCCTGGGAGAGGTAGCGCTCTGATTGGTGGGCTTCTGTACAGGCCATGTCCTCTATCTGGGAATGGGGAAGGAGGTGGAGATGGCTCTGCCTGAGCCACAGGAACTAAATTAAAGGCTATGTGGAGGGTGGTTTTTCAACGAAAACAGGATGATTACCAGAGGAAGCAGAATAAGTGGGTTATAAGAGCAGTGCTGTCCTTCGCCATCATAAAACAATGTTAATGGGAGAAAAGGTGGGGACTCTCCACTTTCTTGGGTTGGGGTGGGGGTGGAGCTCTGCCCCGTGGCACCCGCAGGCCCTGCACCTCTGATCCCTACAATCTGTATGTCCCCCACCCCAGTTCTCCGTGTTCCTCGGCCTCATCTTCTTCCTGGAACTGGCAACAGGGATTCTGGCCTTCGTATTCAAGGACTGGATTCGAGACCAGCTCAATTTCTTCATCAACAACAATGTTAAGGCCTATCGGGACGACATTGACCTCCAGAACCTCATTGACTTTGCTCAGGAATATGTGAGTCCAGCACCAGCCTGGGCTACGTGCATGAGGCTCCTGCTGGGCAGATGTGTGAAAGAATAAGTCCCCGTGTGTGCTGGGACCATTCCTCCACCCATGCCCCGGGGGAAAAGAGCCAGGAGGCCCCTGTCTGAGGGGAAGCTAGTTTATGTGATCCCTGTAGGTCCCCATTATGCCTAGTTCTGCAAGGACCCAGTGTTGGGGAACAGAGGCCAGAGACTCCAAACTGGCAGGTCGTAGGCCAAGGTTTACAACACACTTAAAGGAGAAAATTTGGTATAAAAATATAAATTTCCCCTTCTAATAAACTCTGGACCCATAGTCTTGGCTGCGGTTACATTGCTGCTATCCCCTTTGCTGGTATAGGAGCTCTCTGTTTGCCATTGTCTGCCACTCTTTATTTTATTATACCTGTTGGCCCTCTTCTCTCATTTTTATTGTTTGGCCTCTGGACATGTTAGAGTTTGAGACTTTCCCCCTCAACCAAAGCTCTGCTCTTAAACTCTATACTTAACCAATGTGAAGAAGCAGTCAGTGAACAGTTCACGAGATCCTAGACATCTCCCGCCTGCACCTCCTCATCCACTCACACCCACTTACGCATAGTCTCACCCAGTCACATCCACTTCCACAGTTACATGCCTTCAGGGCCATCAACCCAAGAGACTGTTCCGGGATCCAGAGATGAACCAGAGCTGGTACCTCTTTGAGGACTTTTCAACTCAGGACAGAGCAGACATATAGTGAGGCAGTTAGGATGTGATTTATTTGTTCATTCAACACAGAATTGGTACAGGTTTATTGTGTGCCAGACTCTGGGAAGGTTGCTGCGAATTCAGTGGTGAAAAAAGCTGGGACTTGTCCTCATGGGGATGGCAGTCTGGGGCAAGAGACAGATGATAAGCAAAACAGACAAATGTACGTGTGTGCGTGCACGCGTGTATACAAAATTGTGAATAGTGGTAAAAGCTGAAATGAGGAAGGGTGGAGAAGAGGAAGGCCTTGGAGAAGAAGCAGGGTTGTGGAAAGAGGGGCAGATGTTCCCCAACAGGAACATCAGGTGCTGAGCAGAGCGAGAAGAGGCAGGCAGAGGCCAGGCTGTTTGCTGGGACCTGTGCACACAGAGCCGCTGGCCAGGCCTCACTCTCCCTGCTCTGCCCATAGGGGCCTATCTCTGTCTGCATTAAGCTGGTCCCTTGAGGGCTGGTTTCTGTGTTGGGTGGTCTAAGGCATGTGCTCCTGCCTCCCCTGACTCACGAGCTAGTTTCAGTGCAGCCTCACACTCACTATTGCCACGCCTAGGGAGGCAGTGCACGATATTCTGGGTAGAGGTGTTGGGGATACAGGTGCTGCCGTGGCATTTATGAAGTGTAAGGGTGTATGACGGTGACAGGGTTACCTTCTTGTCCCTGCAGAGAGGAAGAGAGAAAGTCTTCGCAAAATCTCTGGGGCAAGTGTGGGAAGACCCAGTACAGACATGGGGTTCAGTGGTACCTTCCCCCACAGGGCTTGGCCTGATACCCATTTCTCAGGGCACCCCTTCCCAGTACCCCCCTGCCCCCACCAACCTGGGCAGGAGCATAGTGATGCTCTGATGGGTCTGGGCTTAGGTCTGGCCTTTCTGTTGGGAGGGTGAGGAGGGGCCCACCTGCCCAGCTGCCCCTAGACCCCCTCGCAGCACAGCCCTGCCCTGTCTCCCTGTAGCCTGGGCCTGTCTCCAAACTGGATGGGGCTCCTGAGGTGGGCCTGGCTCACCTAGGGCTCTCCTCTCGCCCCTTAGTGGTCTTGCTGCGGAGCCCGAGGGCCTAATGATTGGAACCTCAATATCTATTTCAACTGCACTGACTTGAACCCGAGCCGGGAGCGCTGCGGGGTGCCCTTCTCCTGCTGCGTCCGGGACCCTGCGGTGAGTGGGATGTGGTGAGGAGGGGCAGGGGCATTGCTGTGCGCAGACCAAGTGTGGGAAAAATCCACCACAGGGCTTGCTGGGCTCAGCCCTGCTCTGGGGGCCTTGGGTGCCGGGGGTGGGAGTCATTTTACATGGGAGCACCCCTCCCACACTGAGGAGTTTGTGTCCATGGGCAGCAGTGGGGCCTGCACCCCTTCAGCAAAACCTGTCTCTATGATTGTAGTGAGGCAGCTGCCACACCGCTGGGCCGCCATGCTCGTGTGGTCGGGTGTGAGGCTTCTGACCCCTTGTATGGCTTTCTTCAGAGCAGAAACTTCTCCCGGTGACTCCTCTCCCAGCACAGTTCACTTGGGACACTGAGGGCCAGGATTCTTCCCATTCTTAGAAAACACGAGCAGGCAGGATTCCTAAACAGGAGGCAGCTCAGGCTGGCGTTTGTAGCCATGTGTCCTGGCACCAAGGAAAGAGGTGTGTGGGCCTCTGTGAGCCTTGTCTAGGAGTGGTGGGCATGGCGGAGTCCGTGGTTCCATCTGCTTCCCCTGAGAAGCAAGAACCACTCCAGTGCTGGGTGTCATGGGCCCCCGTGGGATATCCCCTCACCAACTCGCTTATTGGCCTATTTCTCCTCAGGAAGATGTCCTCAACACCCAGTGTGGCTACGATGTCCGGCTCAAGCTGGTGAGAGGGGTGGGGACAGAGTTGGGGTCATTGGGATGGAAAGGACAGCCTCCCATAAGCTCCTCTGTGAGGTCTCAGGAATTCTGTGGGGGAGGGGGTACTGAGTCCTAGGAACCATCCAGGCACCTAGAGCTTGGTACTTCCAAACATGGGGGCAGTGGACCCATGAGCACAGACACATGTGTGTTTGCTCGTTGCAGCTCTATGTCGAGCACCCATTGGTGCTCACACCTGGCAGTGCCCTAGATGCTAGGGATTCATGGTCATGAGCTAGGTAGACAGAGCCCCTGTTCTCAAGGAGCTCCCACACTAGTAGAGGGAGAAAGACAGAAAGCTAATGGATAAATACATGTGAACAGTAATGTGACAATTTCAACCAAGAGCTTGAATGCAAATAAAGTAAGGGAGGTTGATAGGATTGGGGCCGGGTGGTCAGGGAAGACCTCCTGAAGGAGGGGGCATCTGTTCTGAGATTCTGATGACCAGAAGGAATCTGTCATGCAAAGGCCCTGTGGTAGAGTTCCATCCAGGCAGCAGGTGCAAAGGTGTAAGGTGTTGGGGTGGAGACAAGCTTGGCAGTCTAGGCTGAGAGGAGGCCTGTGGGGGTGGGTGGGCCAAGCCCCTTGCCTGTGTGTCCCCAGGAGCTGGAGCAGCAGGGCTCCATCCACACCAAAGGCTGTGTGGGCCAGTTTGAGAAGTGGCTGCAGGACAACCTGATCGTTGTGGCTGGGGTCTTTGTGGGCATCGCCCTCCTCCAGGTACTGACTCAGCACAGCATGCCCCCCCCACACCCTTGCCCCGCCGGCAGACTTTCCCTCACTTGCCTCTTTGTCCTACAGATCTTTGGTATCTGCCTGGCCCAGAACCTTGTGAGTGACATCAAGGCAGTGAAGGCCAACTGGTGAGGCTGCCACACTGGCCATGGCCACCTGCCTGGCCTACCCAGGGACCCGCCCCCCACCCCTTCCCCTGCCACTATACCCATGATGGGCAAGGCTATGGTATTTCCACTACATAGGGAGCTTGAGTGTGTGTGTGCGCTGTGCACCTGTAGAGAAAGCTGTGTGCCTCTGCCCGGGCTGCCTGTCCTGGAGCTGTGTGCATGGAGGGCAGGTGTGTGTGTGAGTGTGCACAGGGAGCCACCATTGCAGCTGTTGGGTGGTGGGCTCTCCAGGGGACTAGGAATGGCCCAGCTAAGAGGGTCCAGGCCTGGTGGGGTGAGGTGGGGTGGAAGGGGCCCCCCGCCCAGGCTGAGACACACGTCTGTGTGCATGGCTATTAGGGCAGGCTTGGGGCCTGCTGTTGCTGGGGACACAGCCTCATGCAGCCTCAGAGCTGTCTTCTCTACTAGCTGTGACCTTGACCCTGCCAGAAGCCCCCTTTGGCCTCCATGTCTCAGACTTTAAAATGGGTCCAAGAATTTTTTCTCCCTTGCTTGCCTCTCAGGATCAAACATGATGATGGCTACAAACTACTCAAATAAACAAAACCTTGAAAACCACTGGCTTACGCCCACCATCTCGAAGGTTCTGTCAGCGGCAGGGCCTCAGCAGTACTCTCCACCTGGGGCCCCGGCCCGGATGCACCCTGCCAGCGTGTTTTCTTGGCCTAGGCAGCGTATACAATTGAGCCAACCTTTAAAACTTGGTGTATTTCACATAAAAGTCCAGCTCCCCGGCATCTTGTGAAGAATGGCCATCTGGCCACAACGGCTCTTCAGTGGCATCATCTCCTGGGACATATGCTTCCTGTTCTCTGCCTGGCGTGTTCTGCTCACCTAAGTGCCCTGCCTGACCCTGTAGGCTGGGAGTTGGCCTCCCCCCACCTCTGCAGGGTTTTCCCCTGCAAATGCTGCGAGGCTGCTGTGGGCCAAGCCCGGATTGAAGCATGGGAGTGAGAATGGGGAGGCTGGAGCCTGCCCCGAAGAGGCCACCGCCTGGAGGGGTCTGGTCCTCCTGGGGACTAAGATGGGTGCCAGGCATGCCCAGGAGAGGGGCTGAGGGGTGGGATGGAGATCGGGAAGGTTTTGGGAAGGAGTAGCTGGAAGCCTGAGCTTGGCACCCATGGGGATAGGGGGAGCCAGGTTTGGGGGCCATTGATGGTTTTGACTCCTAGGCTCCCTTGGAATCCAGTTCAAAAATCTTCCTGGTGGCCTGCAGAGCTGCTTCATGGCCACCAGAGTGCGCATCAGCACAGCATTACCTGCGTCCAGCTTTCCTTGGGCAACCTCATCCAAGGTACAGCCCTGTGCCTGGTGTGTCCACCCTGCTTACTAGCTCTTTGGGGTTCAGGGAATTTATAGACTTCTAAAGGAGTAAAATGGCTCAGATTTGGGAAGTCTGGCTGCTGCTTTCAGATCTGCACAAAGGGGATATATGGAGTGACTGTCCATCCCCCTGCATTTGTGGATGAAAGGAGAGGTTTGGGCTAGTTCATAGATCTCTAACTTAGATGCCCTCAGGGCCAGGTGGGTTATAAAAATAAATAAAGTGGGCCTTTGCGTTGTGAGGCCTTTGTAGTGCAACTTTGATTTTTCCCACTATTACTGGAGATGGGGCACAGAGACTGCTTTGTAATGAGAAATATTTGCATGATTGAGTCGCTAATGGCAACTGGCTTTGAGTTACAATGGGTGTGGTGGGGACTGTGGCAAAGCACAGTTTCCCACCTGAAATTCGTGGCTGTCATTCAGCTGTAGCTAATTACTGTAAAGTGGGAATGTGGGTCTAATGTGAGACATCTGGAGAAGCCAAAGAGCCAGAGTTTTATGTGAAATATCTTAATTTTTAAGTTGTTGGCAACTAATGAAAAAACGTTTTGAACGCTGCTAGCCAAATAAAAGGTGTGGGGGCCAGCTTTGGGCCCTGTGCCACTGTGGATCCCTCTGGAGCAGTCACCCGTGGGTCTCTGGCCGCTCTGCGATTCAGGCCTTCTGGGAGCTGCTGCAGGTGGGCGGGGTGTGGGTCATGTGCCCAGCACTGTGGCTCCCAGATGCAGGCTGGACTGTGTCCTCAGGCCTCCGAAAGACACAGGTGGTGGATGGTTTATACATGCTACAATAAATGCAGCTCACGATATTGTGCGTGTGTCTTGTGGTCTCTGATTTTAAATGTTTTCATTTTCATTTTCCCTCAAACCTCGCAACACCTTGTGAGGTGGAGAGTCCTTTCCTGATGAGGAAACTGGCTCAGGGGAACGAGTTGCCCAGAGCACGCAGCCGGGAAGAGGCACCCAGGTCTGACCCCTCTTGGTGTTGCACTGCACCAGTCCTGCCCTTCTGCCGAGTCTAGGTGAAACCTGCACACTTGAAATGCCAACTAGTGAGGGGCAGTAACCTATCACTCCCCAAGTGTGAGCTGAGCATCTGCTTAGGGGTGGGGAAGTAGAGCAGAAAAGGTCAAGGTCCTGGCCCTTGTGCTGCATTCTTGTGCAGGAGACACAAACACAAGTAGGCACATAAACATTCATGCTAGTAGTATACTCTATGAAGAGAGTGATGGCTAGACAGTGACAGTTGGGTGCCTGGGAGAAGGGACCCCTTAATGGGCTGGTGGGAGGGGCTGCCATCTCTGGGAAGCTCCAGGGGAATGGTGTTCTAGGTTTTGGTACCAGTTTCCCTAGAGGTCCTGAAGCTGGGGTGGGCTTGGCATGAAGGAGCCTGGGGTGCTGAAGAGGTGGGGGTGGTTGAGAGGCAGAGGGAAGTGGTAGAACCAGAATATATTTGGCAATGGGACTGATGAGATGGGATAGGTATGACTGGTAGGAGTGGCTGTGACTCTGGCTGGGGACCCAGAATTCTCCAAAGCTCAGTTTTGCTATATGATATCCATCTGTCCATCTTCCATTCACCATTCACCCACTTACCCACCCACCAATCCATCCACCATCTATCCACCTATCCACTCATCCATTCACCCACCCATCCACCCATCCATCCACCCACCCATCCATCCATCCATCCATCCATCTATCCACTGCCCCCATCCACCATCATCCACTCAGGCCCTGGCTGGAGGCTGGGGTTACCAAGACAGCTCAAACTTGTCCTTGTCCTGGAGCCCGCAGTCTCTTGGCAGTGTCCTGGAGCCTGCAGTCTCTTGGCAGAGACAGATGGAACAATTGCTAATGGCATAATGTGTATGTGGTGACAGCACTTCATGCTGGTTAGAGACATGTTTCCTGTCCCCAAAGTGGAAGCTGAAGCAGTTCTTTTCCTTGTGCTGAGGAGTCCCTACCCAGAAGGGGATCTGTCCAGATGTGTAGAAAACACAAGGAAGCTTATAAGGCCACCCCCTGCCCATCCCTCTAGGTGGGTCCCTAGGCCATGGGAACCAAGGGCACCCACCCTCTGTCAGGGAGGAGTGCACGTTAGTGACGACAAAGGTGGCCATCTACTTGCAGCCTGGGAGCCTCACATAGCCCTGGGCCTGCATTGTCTAACCGGAGGAATGCTGCTGGCAGCCTCTGGCATCAGCTTGGCGGGAGGGCATTCTGTGACATCCGTCTACTCCAGAGTGGGGAACTGGAAAGCAAAGAGAGATCCTGGACTGGTGAATTCTTGTTGAGGAGGTCAGACGGGCTAAGGAGGCTGGGGTAGGGTTTCCTTTCAGAAGATGGCCAGTGAGGCTAAGGTAGTGCGTACCTTGGAGGGAGCCACTCCCAGTGATCACCAGAGGGCACCAGAGCACAGTCCATGCAGTGCAGCAGAATCAGCTGGGGACAGGGAGGGGCTGCAGGTGTGGGCGTCATCGCAGGGGAGGCCCCTGTGGCTGAGCAAGTCCATTCCATGGTTCCAGAGACCTGGAGGTGACCCTGTCGGTGCTAAATCCAGGCATTGCCACCATCTGGGCTCTTCTCCAAGGACTCAGAGCCAATGACATTGCCTGAGCCCACCTTTAGGCCCCTGCACGCTGTGTGTGTGTGTGGCGGGGGGGGGGGGGGGGGGTCGCTTCCTCTAGGAGGTCCAGGCAACATGTTCCAACACATATATCTCCATTCACTCATTCAATCAGATTTACTGAGCACCTACGATATGTCAGACACTGTAGGACAAGGATACATAAGGAACAAAATGAAGATCTCCCCACCCTGTGGTGCTCACAGTCCAGGCCAGGGGTCGGCAGTCTTTGTCCACAAAGGGCCAAATAGTAAACATTTTAAGCTTTCAGGGCATACAACCATCACTCAACTCTGCTTTATGGTAGAAAGGAGCTCTTGGGGCACCTGGGTGGCTCAGTCGGTTGAGGGTCCGACTTTGGCTCAGGTCATGATCTTGCAGTTCGTGAGGTCGAGCCCTGCCTCGGACTCTGTGCTGACCGCTCACATCCTGGAGCCTGCTTCAGATTCTGTGTCTCCCTCTCTCTCTGCCTCTTCTCCGCTCATGCTCTGTCTCTGTCTCTCAAAAATGAATAAACGTTAAAAAAATTTTTTTTTTTTTTAATTTTTTTTTTTTTTAACGTTTTTATTTATTTTCGGGACAGAGAGAGACAGAGCATGAACGGGGGAGGGGCAGAGAGAGAGGGAGACACAGAATCGGAAACAGGCTCCAGGCTCTGAGCCGTCAGCCCAGAGCCTGACGCGGGGCTCGAACTCACGAACCGCGAGATCGTGACCTGGCTGAAGTCGGACGCTTAACCGACTGCGCCACCCAGGCGCCCCCAAAATTTTTTTTTTTTAAAGAAAGGAGCTCTTAACAAAACAAACAAATGGGCATGGCAGTGATCTAATAAAATTTCCTGGACACTGAAATTTGAATTTCATATAATTTCCATGTGTCACAAAATATTATCCCTCTTTTGATAATCAACCATTAAAAAACATAAAACCATTCTTAGCTCTGGAGCTACATGAAAACAGGCAGTGGGCAGGGCTCTTTCCCTGGGCTAGAGCTGCCCACCCCACCTAGGAAGGAAGAAAATACCACACAGTGAGCATTGAATGAGGCACTCACAGGGGAGGAGGTGTGTGAGTGAGTGCTATGGGAATATCAGAGAGAGTAGGCGGCCTTGGGGGTGTGGGGGTTGGGGGTGGGCCTTGGTATTAAATGGGGTGGTCAGAGAGTGGTCTTGCTTTCTATGAAACAGCAAGATGGAGCAAAGACTTTTAATTTTAAATTATTTTGATAGCATAGGTAAAATAGGAACACAATCTACTTTAGAAAATGGATGAAACTAAAACTAAATTACTGCCCCATTCCATTCCCCTCCCGTGCCTTTCTTCCTTGTCATCACAGCTGTGAACTATAGATCCTTCCGGACTTTTTTACATTTTTAAAATCTCGCACTCATATTACATACACAGGGAAAAGGTTCGGTATCATTGTGTGTGTGTTTGAAGCGGCAGGATACTGCCCCTGTCTTGCTGCAGCTTGCTTTTCCAACCCCCACAATGTGTTTTGAAGACTTAGTCATGTCTGTGCGTGTAAAGCTGCTTCATTCCATGTAACTGTAGGGGTGTTTCCCTGAGTGACGGCTGGGGTGTTTCCCTGCAGGGGCAAGCCATGTTTTGCCTCCCTGTCCCTCACCTGATGGATGGTGATAATCAAGCTGTTCCCACTTGGGCTCCACTCCCAGGCTCTGGTTAGAGGCAAAGCCAAGCCCTCTCTCCTGGGGTTTAGGCTGGAGTGGCTACTGATTCACTGGACGAGAGGACAGGGCTACAGAGAAGGGTGGCCTCAAGTCAGGGCTGATGGCAGAGTTGACCCCAGCAGGTCCCTTCCTGGGGCTGGGGCCTCATTTCTGCTCCTCAGCCCAGGCATTAGCCTGATGGGCGGAGTTTTGCATCTGGGGGCCTGGAACTCAGCCCATCCGAGGTGTGAAAGACACAATTAGCCCCTTGGCAGTGTTGCCTTGGTAATGCCTACCTGGTCCCCTGTGCAGCTACACAGACAGATGGGGACATCAGTAACCTGTATACAGAGGGGCCTCTGCTGTGGCCCAAAGCTCTAGTCCCTGGCAGAGGCTTAGGTGCCTGGGAGCCTGGAGACACCTGGACACCTGGGTCCTGCCTCCAGGAATGATCCTCTGGAAATCAGCTCTCAGCTCTGCCTCCTGATCAGGTCAAACCGTCCCCCCGGCTGCTCCAGCATGCTCCCGGCTCCCACTGTGGGAGTCTCCCGGGAATCATGC